TCACAGCTTAGATAGCCGCTGGTTAGCTGCAGCAACACATATACACGTGTGCCTCTCTAGCCCCTTTTAGCAAAAGTATAGTCAGGAGTCTCGTTAAGAAATGAGTGTGTGGCCTGTTAATGCTACCACTTTCAGCAAATCAATGTGCACCCGTTCACACTAAGCATTCACCACCCTTATTTCCTCAAGATTTTCCAAATCTTCTCTAGACTCTATACCCTCAATGTATCTCTAAGCTATCTAAACTCACCACCAACATTTCTCATTCTTTTCCATACCCTTTTATAGGACAACGTGTCATAATACATGAGTCTTGACCAAAAACTTGGTGTATTACAATACATATATTATGAGTACACCCCTTGGGTACCTATATTGCAATCACATCCATTCATCTATCATGACTCTTGTATTATAATCATTTTTTCTAGCATTTCATTTAATTCCTTGGGGTACCTATATTGTAATCACATTCATTCATCTATCATGACTCATGTATTATAATCACTTTTTCCAGCATTTCATTTAATTCATTCACACGTGCGCTCACTGCACTCTGCCACACTCACTGTGAGATTATGATCATGTCATACAAACAACTTTTCCTTTATTCAAGAATATTCAAACACTCTTATTAATAACATGGTTTCACTTATTTGACATACCTAATTATCAAACAACATAAATATATCATGCTTCACCAATTACCATCAATTAATCTCAACATGCCTCAAATGTCGCAACATTCAGCAATTCACAGAACCACCAACCAACTCATTCATTCACAATATTCTAACATTTTTCATTACAACCTAGTTCAACCAATATCCTCATACCACAATCATCAACAAACACTTGACACAGAAAATCCTCAAACAATTCATACATCACACAGATTAATATAATGTGTCGGAGGTCGGACACCTCGAGACTTAGCCCAATCGTACGATTCAACATGCACATCTTTTCAACAATAAAATAAAATCGTCTATCCTAAGGTCTAGCATAATCCATTATTTCAAAAGCATCAAATAGCATATTTCGACCACTCCTATCAGTGTCTACTTAGTAAAATCATATTATTCCTTAAAGACCTTTTTATTTAGAGCCTTTATTACAATTTACATTTATATAGTTATTAAATAGTTAAGGATTCCCCATTTTGAACTACCCAATAGAGGTTAGAGTTTGAGATTTACTCCCCTTACCTTGGAATGAAGACCCTTCACCAAATCCACAATAGAATAGCTCCCTACACAGATTTTCGTCCCTAAAACATGGAAATTCCCATGAGAAACTGAGAATACAAGAAAGAGGGACTAGAAACTGAAAACCCTAACTCAGAAACTTACCTCCAAGCGTCCTAAACTCAATTTCAACCTTCAATCTAGCTTCCAAACGACTTTGGAGGCAATTTAATCGGTAAGAACGGGTTAGGAGTAGAGAGAATCGAAAGGATTTCAAAGGGAGGAATGGGAAAATAAATTTCAGAGGAAACTGCACCCTGGTTTCTGTAGAATCTCGCTACAGCGAGTACACCCCAGAAATACCCACTTAGCCTATTTTCAACCAGTTCAGCACATCTAATCATAATGTACAATCAGTATCCACATTTATCTCATGTATACGCATATGTCCACATCATGCGTTCACACCACTATCTAATAAACATCATCATCATATATTCAAACATACCAACACAAGGAAATTCCCATATATATATATATATATATATATATATATAGTAATTAAAATATTATTACAAAATATGAGGTGTTACTATAACTGCTATAAAATCTCACGCTATCTAATGTGTTAGATTTAAGAGAACATTATTTGAATCGCTCTCAAATGTTAAGATTAGAGAGCGGTTCCACGCGGAACCGCTGTCTAAAGTATGGTTGTTAAGATTAGAAAGCGGTTTCACGCAGAACCGCTCTCCACAATATGGGTGTAAACTGCAAATTTGAAATTTGAAATTTATTTCTTTGCGAGCTTTCTAGATATGTTGCAAACTAAAATTAATTTATTATTATGTTTAAATTTTAATTTATAAGTCTGACATTCAAATTTTTTTTATTTTTATCACAAACCAAAATTGAATCTTGAATTTATACGGTGTGTTAATCAAACAGTCTACATCTGCATGAACCAAACACAAGTAAACAGAGAAAAAGAGAACAAATTAGTAGAATGATTAACCGTTAATAAAGAGAAAAAGAAAGAAAGAAAGAAAGAATGGAGAGAATTGCAAAAAAGGTAGATGTGAAAAAAGAATAATTTATTAGCGCAGAGGAGATGAAGAAAGTATAGAAGACGAAGAGAAGCTATTTACATAAAAGAGATGAATCTATACATATGAAAAAGAACAATTTATTAACGTAGAGGAGATGAAGAGAGCATAAAAAGACGAAGAGAATCTACATATGTAAAAAAGAGACGAAAAGAACTTACAAAAGTAAAAGAGACCAACTTGCAAGATGAAGAACTAATAGATTCATGAGTTGAGCGAGTTTTATTTATAAAAATTAAAGACTTCAGAGAGCCGTTTTCTATTGACCACTCTTAAAGAGTGACTTTAAAGAGCAGTTAATGGAGAACCGCTCTCCAAGAGTGACTTTAAAGAACAATTAATAGAGAATCGCTCTTTAAAGTATAGATGTGAGAGCAATTCAACACTAATCATTCTCTAAATATATTTTTACAGAATGATTTTTACTAACCATTATCTAAGTTAACATTTCAAAAACTTGTTTCTAGCATAGTGTACAAATTGTGCAACTTCTTTAGGGATCAAACAATTAATTAAGAAAAAAAAACATTATATATAAATTAATATAGTTACATGTTATAAAATTATATTAAACATGCTAACATTGATATTTTATTCATCCTTATAAAAGTAGGATAAAAGATAATAAACAATTAAGTAAAATTTTTTATTAGTCAAGAACAAAGCATTATAAAAATAAAATAAAATTATAATACATAACTTTTTTCAACTAAATTTGGTGTATTTGTATTATTTTAAAATAATAATTAGTTAAAATACATATTTAATTCCTATGTTTGACATGTTTACGAATTAGTTCTTATACTTCAAAAAAAATTTATATTTTAGTTTATATATTTTTAAAAAAAGTTTACCTGTTAGTCCATATATTTAAAATAACTAATATTTTTGTTCCTCTAGAAATATTTTATTATGATTTAGTCTCTTTTATTATTAATATCATTATAACAGTTGAGATCAAAATATAACAAAACACTTATATATAAACTAAAATATTACTTTTCAAGGATAAGAACTAATTCGTGAAAGTATATTAATTATTGGAAGTAGATATATAATTTAACTAAATTTTTTTATAGAAATTAAATCTAAATTAATAAATATTTTAGAAACTAAATATTTAATTAAATCCTAAAAAATTAAACAATTGAAATTTACATATATATGAAAAACAAAACACAAAATGTGTCAGTTTGTTGTTTTCTTAGTTAATATGGTATATTAGAATATCAAATGAAATAATTGATATTGGATATTATAAAATTGTAATTTAATATTTTTTAAGTCATGAAATCTAAACTTATGATTATATATGTTACATAAATATATTATTTATTTTTGTTTTATATAACATATTATGTATTAAATAAAATAGATAATGAAATAATTAAAAAAATAATTAAAAATTTAATATACTTATTTTATTGCATAAAAAAATTAAAATTATTAAAAATAAAGTTTACGCTTACAAACTTTTTCTCTAAAAGGTTTGTTATTTTTATATTTAGTCTCTCATTTTATTTTAATCTTTCAAATAAAATATTATAATATATATATATATATATATATATATATAATATTATTATAATTCTTGTTTTTGATTTGATTAGATAACTATTATATATTTTTCATTTATATTTCTTGAATCAAAACTATCTATATTAAATTTATAATATTTAAAAGTATTAAAATAATAATATTTAAGTGAACAAACGTTTTAATCTCTAAAATGTTTGTTATTTTTATATTTAGTCTCTCATTTTATTTTATTTTATAAATAAAATATTATATTATATATTAAAATAGTTAAATTTATAAATTTATTATTTTTAATAAAATATGAAATTAATAATTCAACTATTGATTTAAAAATTATTAATAAATAGATTAAATTATATAAAATTTCATAAAAAACTAAATTTATTATGTATTTTATCGAATTAGTTTATTTTAATGGGCATTATGTTTTTAAAATATAAATAAATATAAAATTTTACATAATTATTTATAAATGTTTAAATTATTTAAAATTTAATATATATAATTAAAAATAATATAAAATATTTATTGAATCAATCAATTTATATTATACAAAAATATTAAATAACATAAATATATAAGTTTAATACATAATGTCATTAGATTCTAATATATATAATATTCTTATAATTCTTGTTTTTTATTTGACTCATCTAAAAATTTTGAGTTTTTTTGTCTATTTAATTTGTATGCCTATTATATATTTTTCTATTTTTTTCTTAAATCGAAACTATATATATTAAACTCACAATATTTAAGATTATTAAAATAATAAAGTTCAAGTGAACTAACTTTTTGTCTCTAAAAGGCTTGTTATTTTTATATTTAGTCTCTCCTTTATTTTAATTTTTCAAATAAAATCTTATAGTATAGGTTTATATCATCTAAATATATATTTTATTTTATATATAAAATAAAAATCTTATTTTTCATTAATAAAAAAACTCTATATATAAAGCTCATAATATTTATAACGATCGGATATAAATAAAAAATAAAAAATACTTTATTAAAAATGTTTAAAAATATTAAAAATGAAAGATTAGATAAAAGAATATAAAAATTTAAGAAAATGTTTTAATCAAGCATAGAATTTATATTTTTATAAAGTAACAGTGAAAGAATAATTTCAGAAAGATTTAACATGCGTTTGATAGAAAAATGTAGAAAGATTAGTTGGTTTGTACTTGGTTTTAAGTGGCACTGCGAGAAGCAGGATCAGAAAAAGAAACAGACAGAAAATGATAGGATAGAACGGTAGCAATGGCATCACTGACGCTACCTTCACTACCAACTTTCCTTTCTTCATCGAACGTTCCCTCTTTTCACTACCATAAGCACTCTCTCTTTAGCAATGGAGCACCATTCACGAGGCTCCGTAATCGTCGAACCTCAGACACAAGCCTTTCTTGTGTTCCCTCCGTGGGAAAGGAAGACACTGACCTGCGTGTCTCTTCTCTCCAGGAAGAGCAACGCCAAGATGAATCAAACCCTCAGGACCTTCAATACGTCGCCCAAATCCAAAACGTAATCTAATTTCCTTTTTCACAATTTCGATTTTCTTCTTCCTTATTGCATTTCCGCGCTCACTTGCAGGTTTTGGAGCTTCTCAGGAAAAACCGGGACATGATCTTCTCCGAGGTAATAATTACCAGTGATTTTACCTTATCCTGTTATTATATTCAATAATTAAAATACATTATATGATTATTTCAAAATTTTATAAATTTTTAAAAATAGATATTGTGATTATTAATAATAAATATTTTATTATATTAAATAAAATTAAATAAAGAGATGAATTTTAAAATACAAAATTATGAAAGATTTAAGTTAATTTTAAATTACAAATAAATACTTAATGTAAAAAAAAAAAACTTGACATGATGAGAAAGTGAATTAACTCTTAAAAGTGCTCATGTTTGAGAAAGCTTCTAAACACACTTTCGTTTAACAGTAGGTACTATCAAATTATATAGAGAAGTTGTTTATTATTATTATTATTATTATTATTATTATTATTATTACTACTACTACTACTAATGAGTGTTGTCTTTGTTGGTGATGATATTTTATGATATGATGCCAATGACCTTGTGAGAGAGGGGATATTGAGTGCGAAGAGGGAGAATTAGTTGTCAAGAGCAAAATAACTAGCGGCCTTTGCCTATATATGAAATGCTTGTTATTAGGACAAGGTACTGACGTTGTGACTTGTGATGATTTCATTATCCTTAAATTTTCTTTTTCAGCTAAATTCTAAAAGGAAATGTACCGAAGCGAAAGGCGGCATCTTAGAATATTTGAGTTGGTGTGTGCTGTTTTTCGGGACAGAATTGCCCAAAATTTTTAATTGAGATTTTGAAAATAAACTTTTTACTTTTTACACACTACTTGTGCTTGCTACACCACTGCATCTCCCAATCATATTTTCTTTACCTATGGTCAATCTAGTGAATTTTTTATCTTACTTCCAGGTCAAATTAACCATAATGATTGAGGACCCCAGAGAAGTTGAGAGAAAAAGATTACTTGGTATTGATGATTCTGATACCCCAACAAGAGATGATCTAGCTGATGCTTTGGAAGAAGTAAGTTTTTCATTCTGTAACCATGATTGTCAAAATTGTGCTTTAGATTTAGAGACAGGCTTTTGAAAACCTTGTTAGGGTTGAATGGGTCAATTTTTAGGGTATTGATGCTTTTGAAAACCTATCCATTAGGGTCCAGCCTGTTTAGAGTTAATTATATAATGTATTATGCACATAATTAATTTGTGGACGGTACTATACTATATTGTATTCCTAGCCAAACAGGATCCATTTTTTCTAATCTCTCTCTATTTTACACAACCAAACTTAGCATTATAACCTCAAGTAAATCTCAAATGATGTATTTTTTGATTTTTTTGCCTTTACTGTTCATGACTGTGGTCTATGTTTTGAAGAAACCACTATTGTTGTCTGCCCGAGCAACTCCTCTAGCACTAGCATCATAAATTGTATTTTTGTTATCATCAATGAAAAAGAAGCTTCCTGATAGTTTCATTACCTTCTATTTATGTCTTTGGTAGCTTCTAGTTCTCCGTTATGTTTCTAAACCCAAAATGTTAAGAATTAGTGTATTCAACCGTTTATTTTCTAAAATGCTATCTTGTGTAATTGTGTAAGGTGACCTGACCTTGGCTTTTTAAGTTGATTGCTGATTTTAGAAATTAAAATAATGACTTTGCATTTACTAGGTCAATGAAGGAAAAATTCCAAAGAATAGAGCTGCTCTCCAGATGCTTGCTGAGGAATTGGCTTCATGGCCTAATCTAGAGGTATGATTGAATTTGAATATGTAATAATTTCTGCTTCCACATGCATAAAGTCTTGAATGTGTTTAAGAGGTTGGTGATTGCTTTGTGTTTATGAAGTTTGAGCTTTACTCTGTGTCAACTTCCTTGTTTTGTTTTGTGCAGGTTTTATTTCTTTAATATCTTGTTATGTGGATCAAAACAGTAATTGTATTTTAAGGTGAACTTGTGCTCTAACCGAAAAGGAAGAAGTTTTAAGATATTACGTCTGGTTCTATATATTGCTTCATAATAATGTTACATGACCTGGATATCAATTTCAGTAGATATCTTATTTGTGAGTCTTAGTTGTTTAGTGAAATTATAGTCACTCTTTTCTTTTTGATATAATGTTAAAGTTTTTAGGAAGTCATACCAAGTTTTTACACTATTATTGAAATTTCATGCAGTCACATCAGTAAAAGAGTTTGACTTTTCAAGTAGAACTTTTCATGATCCAATTTATTTAAATATTTAATAATGTGGTGTCAACATATGATTTCATGATACTAAAATAAAAAGTTACGTTGACAATGGATAAAATTGAACTATATTATATAGGCAGTATTAAAAAAACTGGGCCTAGCTCTCACAAATTAGCTCATAGGAGGAGCTTTGCTTAAGCTTTATAAGGAGTATTTTGGATCTATTCCTAGTCCATGTGAGATATTTTAACAAACCCCCTCATGCCTAGGACAGGACATTTGGTGGGTGAAATTTGTTAAACTGAAGAGTGACTTAACAAGATTTGATATTTGTCAGTGGCCTAATTGGACTGGACATTTGTGGGTAGCTCAACATGTAAATACTGTGGGTACAGGTCAGCATGAGTCAAATCGAGTTCATGTGGGTTTTGGACATACAGCTGGGTCTCAAAATTGAGGGGGTTCAACACCCACATTTTCTACATGTGATGGAAAAGATGTTAGGAAGGGAAGTGGTGAACGTAGCAGAGGTCTTAGACACCTCTCTTACCAAGAGATGATGGATAGGAAGGCTAAGGGATTGTGTTTTGCGTGTGGAGAGAAGTATCATCTCCCGCATTGGTGCCCTGAGAAGCAATTTAGATTTCTGGTCCTTGGAGATGATGAGATTATTAATGAAGAAGGGGAGATAATAGCAATTGGAGTAGATGAGGTTGAAGATGATGAAGCACTTGAATGCAAGGCCATGGGTCTTTGTGGGGTCACTAGTGATTTATTACAAGGAGTGAGGACTATGAAAATGGAAGGTAGGCTCAAGGGAATTACTGTTTTAATTATGGTGGACAGCGGTGCTACGCATAATTTTATCTCACCGCAAGTGACTGCTGCTCTGGAACTTCCTGTAACTCCTACTCGAGATATGAGTATTTGCCTTGGTGATGGGCATAAGGTTGTCACATGGGGTAAGTGCTCTAATGTCAGAGTTAAAATTGGTGGTATTGAGATCATTATTGATGCAGATGTTGGATTTGGGAGGGTTGGATGTTGATATTAGGGGTATCTTGGTTGAAGGATTTGGGAAAAGTGGAAATGATTGGGGCGAGATGACTGTCATTTTATAGTGGTGATAAACCACGCAGAGGAAGTAATTACAGCAGTGACCTAGCATCATTTTATACTTCATTGAAATAAGTTAGTGGAAAGGAGTGTGGAGACTGGTACCAAGCTGAAACTGAAATTCTGACAGATGATGAAAATGCTCTAAATTCTGTTCAACAGCAAGAACTTGCTAATGTTCTTAATGAATTTCCTGAGGTGATGGGGTTACCACCAAAGAGGGAAGTTGAGCATGTGATTGAGTTGCAGTCCAGAGGTGAACCTGTGAGTGAAAGGCCTTATCATTATCCTCATTTGCATAAGAATGAGATAGAAAAACAGGTTGCAGGATTATTACAGCTGGGGGTGATTTGACATAGCTCAAGTTCTTTTTCTAGTCCAGTAATTTTGGTAAAAAAGAAAGAATTCTCATGGTGCATGTGTTGATTATTGGGCCATGAACAAGGTGACTATTCTGTATAAGTATCCTATTCTTGTAGTGGATGAGCTATTAGATGAGCTGAATGGGGCTTGCTACTTTTCAAAATTGGATTCAAAGTCTGGATATCATCAAATTCAGGCGAGAGAGGAAGACTTTCATAAACAGCATTTAGGACTTATGAAGGACATTATTAGTACCTATTTATGCCTTTTGGTTTCCGATCTATAACAAACCAGATTTTTAAGTCATTTTTAAGGAAGTTTGTGCTGGTATTTTTTTATGACATCCTTGTGTACAGTAGAGACTGGCAGACACATTTATCACATCTTCAACAGGTGTTCCAGAGTAATCACTTTGTAGCCAACCAAAAGAAATGCACTTTTGGGAGGCAGCAAGTAGAGTATTTGGATCATGTGATCTCAGGATTAGGAGTTACACTGAATCTTGCATAGGCGAGAAGTGTGCGGGAATGCCAATTCCACATAATGTCAAAGGTGTGAGGGGTAATTTGGGTTTGACTGAATATTATACCAAATTTATTCAGGTATATGGAAAATTAGCTTAGCCATCAACTGAACTAACTAAGAAGGAAGGACTGCATTGGAGTTTGGAGGCATTTAAATTTTATTCCATTGCTTCTAAACATAGTAGTCAATCCCGGATAGCGGCGCGGAGCGGCCGACCTCAAAAACGCTATAGCGGCATAGCGGATAGCGGGATGACCGCTATTTTAGGTATTATAAATATACTCATAAACTCATAAATTAAATTACACACATATATATATATGCTTAGATGTCAATAACAAGTAACAACAAAATATAAAAATAAATTTAACTAACTAAATTTAAGTCTCTAATGCTTAGATGTTTAAAAATACTAAGTATTCAATTCAAATACAAATATTTTAATAATTATCATCATCTTCATCTCCAAGATTTGCAATGTCCTCTTCATTTTCACTTTCATCACTACTTTTGTAAAGAACCTCCTCCTCCTCCTCATCCTCTTTTTCAGTGTCTTCGTCATCACATTCTTCTTCTTCTTCTTCTTCTTGTACAATTTCTTTCCCTTTTCCCTTAGATTTAGATGAAGAAGCAATTGTAGTTGTCTTGGATTTTGATTTAGCTTGTTGCCTAGTGTAGGTTATAGGCTCACTAGCCCCAATTGCATTAGCAACAGCTCCCCAAGTCAAGTTATCATCATCAAACACTAATTCATCTACAGCATCTTCATCATCTCCAGCTATTCCTTCTAGCAACCAATTATTACTATCATCAACATCCTTTAAGATAATAGGATCCACCACGTCAGAACACTCAAAACGTTCATTAAGAGCTTGGTTATATTTAATAAAAACCAAGTCTTGTAACCTTTGATGCTCAAGTCTGCTTCTCTTTTTAGAATGAATCTATTTTACCATAAAAAAAAAATATTAGATTTTCACTTTTCATAAAAGAACTTTAAATTGAGGATTCAGATATTTACTTACGTGCTCAAAAGTACTCCAATTTCGTTCACATCCAGATGAACTACAAGTCAAACTCAACACTCTAATAGCAATATTTTGTAAATGTGGTGTACGTACTCCATAATTCTTCCACCATTCAGCTGCAAGTTATGCATCAACTTATTAACCTTTTGTGTTATATCTACATAATTACATTACAATAAAAAAATTAAACAAATCTCTTACCAGGAGCCATTGTAGCCCTTTGTCTTTTTGCTCCACTTAAACCAAAGAGACCTTCAGCTCTTCTATATGTTGACAATTGAACTGTAACATTGTCTACATCATCTTCACTTGTACATAGCCTCTCAATACATTTATACAAGCCTTCCACAACTTCAGGATCATTCTCAATTTGTTTATTGCTATAAAAAAATTGAGGATTCAGATAATAACCTGCAGCATGTAATGGATGATGAAGTTGACACTCCCATCTTCTATCAATTATAGCAAAAATCTCCTTATATTTGTCTACATTTCCTTTGAATGCATTTTGAATGCTTTCTTTAGCTCTATCAATTGCCTCATATATATAACCCATTGCAGGCTTTCTTTCATTATCAACAAGTCTCAAAACTTGCACAAGTGGCCCCATAGCCTTAAGACAGAAAACCACATCATTCCAAAAAGAAGGCATAAGTACAGTGTCTGTTGCCCTTTTTCCTTTAGCTTCTTTGGCTGTTTTGGACTTTAACCACTCATCGGAAGTGAACATTTTTCTAATGTTGTTTTTTTTATTATGCAACCTTTGTAATGTGAGGAATGTTGTGGCAAACCTTGTCACTCCATATCTAACCAATTCAGCTTTATTGGTGAACTTCCTCATAATATTCAAAGTCAATGAATGATTATAAATAAAACCCACAAGAGTAACTCCCCTTTGGATTGTTCTCTTGACTCTAGGTATTTTTTCAATGTCTTCTAATATCAAGTCAATACAGTGTGCAGCGCATGGAGTCCAAAACAAATGTGGTCTTTTAGCTTGCAACAACTTACCTAAAATTAAATTGCATAGTCTAAAATTAGAAACTAATAAAATAATTAGTAACTGAAATTAATATAGGGAGTTAAGAATAATTCTTACCGGCTAATACATAATTACTTCCATTATCAGTAACTACTTGCACAACATTTTTCTCTCCAATCTCTTCAACAAAGCTATCCAAGAGCTCAAACAACTTTTCTCCAGTTTTCATATAAGCAGATGCATCAATGCTCTTTACAAACATAGAACCAGTTGGACAATTTACTAAGAAATTGATCAATGTTCTATTTTTTTTATCCGTCCACGCATCTGACATAATTGAACATCCACATTTTTCTCTTTCTTCTTCACGACTTTTCAACATTTCCTTTGTATACTCTAACTCCTTTTTAAGAAGAGGAACTCTACACTCATGATAACTAGGAGGCTTTAGATGTGGACCATAGTTTCCAATAGCTTCAACCATTAATTTGAAACTTTTTGAGCGCACAACGTTGAAAGCAATTCCATTCCTACAAAGGAATCGCTCTATGTATTGAACTGTTCTTGCTCTTGCCTCTTTGACACAAGCATCATTTATACTTGTTTGTCTTTTTGATTTTGCTAATTTGATGCTTGTTTCTGGACTCTTTAACCATAATAAATCCAATGGGCCCTTGACATTTTTTCCTTTTTTGGTGGCATTACAACCACTAACATAAACTGATGCAACACTTGAGGTTGCAGGTCGTTTTCCACTACGAATATTTTGAATTTCTTGCACCTCTTCTTCATCATCATCATCTTCATCATGCTGAAGTAAATATACCTCTTTTTCAATTCTCTTCTTCTCATGAGCTGCTATTAGTGTTTCTTTTATTTCTTTGGGAATCCTTGGACACTTATCAACATCTCCCTTCACTCCCATTTGGTGCCTCTTTGCTCGGGTAATACCGCCTGTAGTCGTTTTTCCACAAAAGTCACAAGTAACAGACTTTTTATTATTTATGTCTTTCAAACTATTCCATTGCCAACCTATATCCAAATTATTTCCTGAAGGCTTCACTAATGCACAGGATGAAATTGAAACAGAGCCGGTTCCTTGTGACAAATTGGGAGGAGTAGCCATTACTTCTTTAAGCTTTGAAATTTCGAACAGAAAATAATAGAAGAATCAAAATAGAGAAGAGAAAAAAAAAACAGAGAAAAATATAGGAAAAAAAAATGTTCAGTACCGGAAAGTTCGCCGGAAGTCTGCCGGAGTTGGAGAAGATGACCGGAAAGTTGTGCTGACCTTGAAGAAGATGAGAAGAGATGAAGAAAATGACTCAAAATAATTTGGGTCACCTTAGAAGCTTGCCGGAGACGAAGAAGATGACCGGAAAATCAAGTGGAAGTCTCGCCGGAAAAACAGAGCACAGCGAACAGAGGATGACCAGAAAACCGAGAACAGAGGAGAGAGAAACGAGAACAGAGGAGAGAGAACCGAGAACAAAGGAGAGAGAACCGACGGGAGAAGAGAGGAGAGCAGACTGATGGAGGCTAGGGTTGAAGAAGATGATTCAGAAAAATAAGGGGGGGTCGAAATTCCAAAATTGCCCCCCCTTAAAGGGCCCTAACGGTAAAAGATGAGGGGCAAAAAGGGGAAACGCGCGAGAATGAGATAGCGGCCGCTCCAGCCGCTATTTTCGGTGTTTTCCGCCGCGAATCGCGGCGCGACAGCCGCTACTGTGAAACGCGACGCGACAGCGTCGCCGTCGCGGGAAAGGGCCGCTTCGCCCCGCTCCGCCGCGATTGCGGCCGCTATTTCCGCTATTGACTACTATGCTTCTAAAGGAATTTCATTCTACTCCTATGGATGGACATTCTGGGTCTTTGAGAACTTATAGAAGGATAGCAGGGAACCTTTTTGGTTTGGTATGAAGAAAACAATTCAAGAATTTGTGAAGGCATGTAACGTTTGCCAACCTCAAAAGCATTCAGCCACTTCGCCATATGGTTGTTACAACCATTGCCGATTCCAATTCAGATTTGGGAAAATATTTCCCTTGAGTTCATTACAGGCCTTTATGATGCTATTTTTATGCTGGTTGACTGCCTGTTGATGTATGCTTATTTTATTCTACTTAAGCATCCTTGTACAGCAAGCACTGTTGCTGCTGTGTTCGCTTGTGAAGTGGTTTGATTACATGGTATCCTACATTCAATTCTTAGTGACCGACACCCACTGTTTATCAGTATATTTTGGCAGGAGTTATTTAGAGTACAAGGAACGGTGTTAAAAATGTCATCCTCTTATCACCCTGAAACGGATGGATAAGCTGAAGTGATCAATAGATGTTTAGAGACATATTTATGATGTTTTACTTCAGAACAATCCAGAAGTTGGTCAGATTGGGTACCCTGGGCAGAATTCTGGTATAATACCATGTTTTACATTACGAGCATGACACCATTTGAAGTTGTCTACGGCAGAAAACCTCCCTCCATGCTGCGATTTCTTCCCAGAGAAACTACAGTTGAAATTGTAGCAAGACTGCAAGAGGACTATAGGACATAGATGAAGCCTTGTTGCAGTTGAAGTGTAATTTGAATAAAGCACAGGACCCAATGATGAAGTATGCAGACAAAGGGCTAAAAATGCAGAGTTTTGAAGTGGGTGAGTGGGTGGTTTTTCTCAAATTACGACCACATACGCAACAATTTGTGGCACATCAAATCAATCAAAAGTTGGCACCCAGATTTTATGGTCCTAATATACTAGAAAGATTGGGAAATGTAGCCCATACATTACAGTTACCACCTTCTTCTAAGGTTTACCCGGTGTTTCATGTATCACAACTAAAGAAGGCTATTGGAGACTATATTTCGGAGGTTAATCTACCAGTTGAGTTGGAAGTGGAATCTGGATAATATGGAACCTAAGATTATATTGGTCAGCCAAAACATTGCCCACAATGGCATCCAAAATAGACAGCTTTTAGTGCAATGGAAAGGATTGACTATTGAGGATGCTACATCCTACAAGGGCAGATGAGTTGAACTTGTGCTGTCAGTTTCCTTCTTTCAGCCTTACAGACAAGGCTGTTTTTTCAGAGGCATGTGATAGAGTACTGGACCAGAATGTGGGTTTAAATGGTGTAAGGCCCAGGATTTGGAAAATGCATGCCTGTAAAAAAAACAAAACTAGCAAGGTGAGAGAGGGAGGAGAATGCTGAGTTGGCAAGTTCGTTAGAGGAGTAGGGAATATTGGCAATTTGGGAGAACAGTGGTGAGTTAGTTATGCATTTGTTTTTTATGTTTGGAAAGAGAAATTCTATTTTCCCTCAGGAGCTTCTGTTCTGGGTGCTGTAAGAGCTCAGGGTCATTTCTTTTTGATTCATAGTAAATTTCTCCCATCAGTTTTGTTTTATAAACTCTCTCACACAAATTCCTCTTGTGAATGAAATGTTACTAGATAACTAAATGTATTAATCTCTATGTTATTGATAGTTAACTGCTGTTTGTGGCAAGTCCATTCTTTGTGAAGTTATGATTGCATGCTTGCAATTTCCTTCTCAGAGGGTGAGAATAATTGTGATTCTTATGTCTCTGTTCCTAGCATAATCATGAATATCAATTTCAGGTCAATTGTCGCGGAATAATGGGTCACCTTTATAAACTATTGTAATTTGCAAAATCTAATTTTGATTTAGTAAAGCAAATGCTTTTGGGCTATCTTGCTATTTTCCTTTTTTATGTTTGACGTATTTGATTTTTATGATGTAGTTATTTAGATTGTTCTTATGCTATGTAATTCCAAATTGAAACTTCAAAGTTTGCTGCTTTGTCTTGAACTAATTGTTTATTTCCTTTCATTCTTTTCCTGTGATATATTGTATAATTGTATTAGTACCATCAGATATATGAATTTGCTGATTATGAAGATACTTTTCTTTGAAAATGAATGCTCTATCAGTTATGGCTATTTCTTATATTTTACTTTTAAAATTTGATAGGCTGAAGCGCCAAAGAAAAAGCCCAGCAAATCTCTCTATGCAAAAGCCACAGACACGGGAATCGATCCTGAAGTTGCTGCAAAGAAACTGAACGTTGATTGGGATTCTGCTGCTGAAATTGAAGAGACAAATGTTGACAATGAGACAGAAGTGCCTTCAGTGGTGGTCAGTTCCTAACCTGCTGCTGAGATAATTTGTGATTCTTTTGTTTTTCTTGTTTGGTTTGGTCGGCCACCATGCCTGTTCCTATTTGAATTATGATGCCATATTTATGATAAAGGAATTTGGTGCAGCTATAAACTTATATGAAATCATTAGATTATTTCAAGTATGTGCCTCTATTTTTTCATTTGTGATAGAGTTAAACGATTTAAAACACAGATTATTACTCATCATACATGTGCTGATTTGCTCCTTTTGTAAATAATGACGTTCTTTGTATAAATATCTAGCTGGGTTGGTTGATTACACACTTAAGGTATGTTTGGGAGTTGGGTGTTGAAAGGGAAGGGAAGGAAAAGGAAATTTTTCATTTTCAATGAGCATTATCTACTTTCATATAATATTTTGAAATAAAAGAAATAAAATGCTAGATTAATATAAACTTAATGTTTGAATCCTTTATATAATTTTATTAACATTATATAACTATCTTAATTTAAAAAGAAAATATTTGTTCTTTACTCAACTTTTTATTCAAATTTCAATTCCCGAACATAACATCGGTGTTTCATGTCAAACACTCCTCTAATTCCATATGATATTAGTGGTTTAATGATCCACACCAAACGGATTCCTATGTCAAATTCCTAGGTCAAGTGAAGCCACTAACTGATTACTGACCGTGGTAGATGTAAACGTCCTATAGTGTGATTTTGTGATACCCATTAATTACTCTATATTTGCTACGAGTTTTAAAAATTAAATAAGAAGTTTCTATTATTTATCTTTGGGTACTTTTTTTTCTTTTTGTTATGATCGACCCTTTAAACTGAAAATGTTATTTCCCTTGCAGGGCTATGGAGCACTATACTTGGTTACGGCTTTGCCTGTTATTATAGGCATTTCAGTGGTTTTGATCTTGTTTTACAATTCCCTCCAGTAGGAACTGGCATTCTACTCAAATTCAGTGTATAACATTACACAGTATTGAAATCAATATATCACAATGTTCAGCTAACGTCGTTAGACTAACTATATATCAAAATTAATCGTTCGGGAAAGATGCTTATGGTATTGATAGAAAAGCCAATGCTTGTTGCCATTGATAGTTTATATCTTACCTAATGAATGCTCGTCCATATTAATTATTCATAATGGTTGACGCAACATTTTTCGTATGCTACCATGACCCCACGTATGGCCTCTCTCTCTCTCTCTCTCTCTTTAACGCCAGCACGTTTGGTGATTATTCTGGTGTCTCGCTTGTTTTTAACTTTTTATCATGTCGTGCATACGATATTTATATAAATAAAAAGAGGCAGTTGACCATTATCATATTTTTACTATACGAGAAATCAAAATATTTTCATGGGAAAAATATATACTTCTTAATTAGAGAACATGGTCATCACGACTAAGATGTGGATGGCCATGCTGCATACTTGTAACGTTCTGTGCATTATATATTTTCCATACAAGTAGCGCAACCAGCTACCTTCCAGAACAGAAAAAATAAGATGAAGCAAGCGATGGAATGATAGCTGAGGGTGATTTCCATGTAACAAAGATGGACGGACCCAAAATCTCAATGAAGGAAAACGAGCAAAAGGAAAAGCGTATTGTGATGGATGCACTGTCACAGAATGCATCTTCCACTAAACACAGGACTTTTGAGTCTGCTTTACCAAATGTTAGTACATCTCTGGTAGTAACTGATTTGCACCGTGCAATATCATTACAACCTCCAAACCCAAAACTCCTTAGCCATAGTCTTCCAAATTCAGCCAACTCATCACCTATGTTCACTTCAAATTTGATGAAGAAGAAATCGAACGGTGGGAGGAGCGTAGAATCACCATGTCAAGCTAGTAGTATACTCAAGCATAAGTGTCTGGTACAAGAAATGCACTTAAGGAGAAGCAAGTCATATGGTGAAGGAAGAGCATATGCATCCTTAGATGAGTTTGATCTCTGGTTGGTCAAACCAAGCACGGCCGAACAACATGATAACATACATCATGGCAGCTTCTCCATAACTGAAGCCATCAAAGAGGGTCCTGTGAATGGCAAGGACATGGAATCATGTGAAGAAGAGGGGTTTAAGTGCAGTGCTCTTTGTCTGTATTTGCCTGGCTTTGGGAAAGCAAAGGCAGTTAAAGCCAGAAAAGAAGGGTCAGAAATGGGAGGTGCAATATCTAGGACTGTTTCTTTGGAGAAGTTTGAATGTGGTTCTTGGGCTTCTTCTGCACTGTGCCATGAAATTGAAGGAGACCCCATGAATTCCTACTTTGATCTTCCAATGGAATTGATCAAGTGCAGTGCTAATGATGTTCATGCACCCGTTACTTCAGCTTTTGTCTTTGAGAAGGGCCTTAAAGGGGTCCTCAAGACTGGTTCCTCCAGAACTAGTGGTAGAAAATCAGACACATCACCTCTCCATGTTGGGTTTTCTACATCTCACACTGCCTCTGCAGCATCCTGCATTTCTCCTCGTTTAAGAAAAGTCAAAGAAGATTTTAACGCCTTCTTAGAAGCACAAAGTGCATGAGGAGTTTGGAATCATACCTATGGAAAGTGAAGTGAAAAAAACACGGAAAACTCCTCAACACTGTTTGTAATCGGTTCTGTCACTTTTATTACCATCGTTTAGCATGAGCACCATGTTAACTGAATAATTTCTACGGGGAAAAGTAGAGAGATACGGATGATTGCGTTCTTCTCATCATGCAAGAAGTATATTTAACTACATAATTTAGGCATATAATCTCATCACAACTACAAAAGTAGGAAACACATTTTTTTTTAATTTGTTAATTGCGAATTTAATGCAATTTACATTAAATCAATGGAGAGTATATTACTGAAAACAAGTTCTAGACCTTTTGATTAAAGGATTTCGACTAGCCAAATTTATTAATGTATTTTAAGACTCGTGTCATTTACAAATAAACAATAGGGTAAGAGAATAAAGTGTTATAATGTTTGTACGTAATTTCTTGCATCCTCAAGCAAGAAAATGATGTGTGTTCCAAAGGCAAAAATCTGTCATTATTTAAGAACATATAAATGACTTTGTTTTCGATTTAAGTCATGATTCAGCAATGATTTGGCATTTTCAAATTTGCACTTCGCACCTTCATCTACAGAAAATATCATATAAGCATATGCGATGATGTAAATTATTGTTTCTTTAAAAGATTTACTAGTGGAACACGATGAGCTTTTGAAAACACATTATTTAACCTTTCTTGCACCTATGTTATTGAGAGTTTAGATGAATCATTTCCCTCTAGTGCAAATATCCCTGATACTCATTATAATTGTCCTTAATCTTTAGCCAAAAACCATGACTCGATGACAGTACTAACCGTGGTTCCATTGACAAACTTTATGTTTCAAAGCATTCTATCGTCTCAAAAGGTTTAGAGTTGAATAGTAGAAAAAAGAAGGTAGTTTAGAGTTGTCTATAATTTACACGACGTTTTTCATGGTAGGTTAGTTTAATACACCGTTACCCCTATTAGTGTGTATAGACTTGACGTCTTATATTTATGATATATGGCATCGGATAATTGGTTCACTCATATATTAGTCTCAACATATTATACTGATAATATTAATATTTGACTAACTTTGATAAACGTCATCTACACGAAATTATGCAAATTCATTCTTAATGTATATATTATGAGCCTTTATGATATAAACACATCTTTTTATATCACAATTATTTATTTAAATAAATGACACAACTCAAATTTATTTATTTCTATAATAAGAATTCAATGATGTCTTTAGCATAGTAAATAATTTGTATAATATGAAGTAAAATAAATAACTTGATAGTGAAATTTAACATAGTATTAATTTTAAAATATTCATAGACAAGTATGATTAAACTGATAATCAAGTCTCACAAATGATAAATATGAGATATCAAGTCTTCATACATCTCTAAGAGTAATGATTGTTGCATGAATATTATAAATAATTTTCAATGTGATAATAATATATGTTGTCCTTTGACCAAAAGTTATGATTCTTCTATGTGATGACTTTATTTTTAATCCCATCAAACGTGTAACAAGATTATCATAAGGTTAAAAGTTTTACATAAAATAAATCATGTGAAAGAATCTGAGTAATCTATATGAGATATGCGCTCTCTTATGTAGCAAAAGATCTATAAGATATAATATAGTTTAGATAATGAAATGCATAACCATGGTCAGAGAAAAAATATAAGTTTATATGAAATAAGTCTACTCATGTATCAACAAGAAAATAAAATTAGACTTTACAAGGTTACAAATTTCATGACCTGTGCTTAATTCGACACATAGACAAAGAAACTAACCATATAGCATGTATCATCACATAAATAGCTTATGTTAATTTAATGACATTATTAATATTTAGAAACAATATTGTAGTGCTAAATGTCATTCACTATTTATGATATTTTTTAATATGATAAATCAAATATTAAAATAACCTATAGGATCAAATACAAGAACAAATCTATTAGAATAAAAACAAAAACAAAAACTTTTCATGCATAGTAACATCTTGATTTTCACTAGAGCTAATTTAATCCTAATCTTCATAGGCTAAGCCCAAAAGGTCCATCCCAAAACTAAAATGTTAACAGAGTTAAGTGGATTAAGAATTTACTCAAGGACTAACTACTTCTGAAAAATTATTATAATCCATTGAAATATTTATTTTATATAACATATTTTTTATAATACACTTATAGACAAAAAAAATTGCTTAAAAATAGACGAAAAATAATTAAATATGTGTGATATTAAATAAAATAATAATTTATTATCAAATTAAATTTTATTTTTATCTAATTTTTTGCCTATGTTATTAATAATTATTAAATCGTAGTAATATTTTTATTCATATAATTCTATAAATAATTTCATAGTACATTAATTTTATAATATTATTTGAGTATTAATCATAAATTTGTCTAATTTTAATATTATTTTTTATTTTTATAAAATTATTTTTAAAAAATCTTCAATAAATATTTTAAAAGTCAAAGTAGATATATGTAAATGACAACGTAAAGCAACACTAAATAAATTTGTTAAGTTATCTATTATCAAAATGCTCAAGATAATGTATTTAAATAAAATTCAATGTATTAAAAAAAATAAATGCAACATTGTCATTATGAAAATTGTAAACGTATGATACTTAATATTACAAAATTTATGGATGCAGAAAATAACTTATAAATTTAGCAAAAACTAATGAATATTTGTAAATTTAAATTGTGGCTTATCTTAATTTAATAGAATTTATTTTTAAAATCAAATTGTCAAATCAGTTTAATTATATGTATTTCTTGTTATGCTAATTGATTAGAGTTGCGTAGACTTGAATCATGTGAATTAGTTATATGTTGGAATATAAAGGTTATGTAATTGCCAAATAAGGAGTAGAGTAGTTGTTGTGTCATACGATGATGTTAATATATGTGAAGTGTCATGTGAATTGAAGAATGATTGTTAAATGTGTTAAGTGTTTGGATAATTTAGAAAGTATGATTTAGAATTGGTAGTATTTCACTCGGGAGAGAAATTTTGGAGTCTGGGTGCAGGGTATTTGGCTCAAGCAAGATTAGTCTCGCTCAAGCGAGAGCAGATACAATTGCCCAATTGTAACCTCGCCCAGGCGAGAAGAAATCTCGCTCAGGCAAGAGGTGACATCGCTCAAGCGAGAGGTGCTCGCTCAAGCGAGATGTCGTAGGAGTAATAGGTAGCTTTCTGGATGCAATCTCGTCCAATCGAGAACGCTGCTTGCCCAGGCAAGATGCATCTCACTCAAGCGAGAATATCATAAAATTGAGAGGTTCCACTGCCTGGTTTTTTTGCCCAAGCGAGAGCAAATCTCGCTCAAGTGAGAAGTAGGTCGCTTAAGCAAGAGCACGTGGACTGGAAGGGTATTTAAGGGGCCGCAGTGTCCATAAATTTCATTTTTCACCAAACAACTTTTCTCTCTCATTCTCTCTCTGTTCTCTCTCCTATTATTCTTAGAGAAAACTTTATGAAAGCATTCCTTCTCTATCAAAGCAAGATCTTCTATCTCATTGAGATCTAGGTGAGTTTTCGGAGCTCAGTTTTCATTTTTACCTTGTTTCTTCTCTTTCTTTCTCAAGGGACTTAAATCGGGTTATTTTGAGTAGATCTGAATCGTTCAAGCTGTATTACACACCCAAACTGTCGATCTCTCTCTACGGAACCCACTAGAAACAATATCTTGGAACTCATTTCAGGTAAGGGGAGCTTACCTGATTTAATCTAGATCATTTAGTAAAGACCGTGATGTTTATGTAAATTATTTCATTCTAGCTGGGATAGTGGACTGTATGAGTTAATTTTGGGCTAAAACCCAGAGTCTGTATAGTTAAGTAGATTTCTTGGCTGTCTGATCATTATTTAGAAAACCATGATTAAATATAATATGCTGGAATGCGATCATATATGAGCCAAGAATGTTAATATATGCTGGAATATTTAATTAGTATTTTGAGCTACTTAGTTTTCATTGTGTGCTGTATATTGGAATGCTGAGCTTTGTTGTGAATAAAAATATTAAAGTTGAAAATGAAAGATTTGTTGTGTTGTAATATGCTAATTTAGCTATATTACATCACATTTATCACTATCATCCTAGAGCTGTTCTGTGTCTGGATCCAGATACCGGGATGGATCGCTCCCAGACCGGAAACAGTTCCTCTGGATTAATTAGGCTATGAAACCAGATGGAAACTGAATTGCTGCATTTGCATTAGATGGGTTGGGAATGGGCTGGACATGCTGCATCATTTTATTAAAGCTATGTAATGTGCTGTGTGCTGACTGTTATGAGCTGTTTAAATAATTTTATCTATACTAATTCACATTTCACTAATAAGGTTGTCAATTATATAAGCTCACCCTTGCATTTTGTTATGTTGATATGTGTGCTGCAAAGATCGTATGTTGGTACGTGAGCAGAAAGTACAGGGAATGCGTCTACTTCTCAAGCTAGGAGATTTGGCTAAGGAACAACAAAGTTGGCATTTTGTGGAAATTTTGATGTTGAATACTTTTGGTCAGTCTAGGTTATAGTAATAAGTCTAGACTGCTGGGCTATACTTTTCAAGTAATGTAATTTATGTTTTAAACACTTGTATTTGATTTTCACTGAGTTAGCATATTTAAATGTGGAAGTTTATATAAAGACTTTGAATATTGTATATAAAATGCCTATGAGGTTCGTTATTTGTGTATTTGAATGTTGGAGTTTAGTTTTTGAAAAACTTATACTCTAGTATTGATATATAATGCCTCATAAATTAAATAAATGAATATAAAAAAAGTAAGCGGAAATGTCATTAATTCTCTATAAAAAGGGGTTGTGACACAGATAACTTATTTGATAGAATTTTTTATTTTCAAAGTATATTTTTTGTATTTAAATATAAATTTTAATATTTAAATAAAATAATTTAATACAAAATTATAAATAAACATGTTTTTTTATTAA